TTTATGTACTGCCTTCCTGGGACCTATAGGTGAACCTTTTCTTGACTTTAGCCAAATTCTCCATCTATCAGACCAAGAACGAGGCTCCGGCTGAGTTGAACCTGGGTGTCTGTGGGGCCATATTTCTGTTACTTCATGCATGTCTCTGGGCAGATTGTTACTAGGAAGCATTTACAGATTCATTGGGCTTGTTCGAGGGGAAGTGGCCCTGCTCTGCTTGGGTCCCCTACTGAGAACACGTGTTATTACCCAATGACTGTCATTCCCATTCCTGTTTTGATGTGCCAAGGAATCTGCTATTATGTATGTAGTGGTCTCCTTAACCGAGGAAAGTATTCTTGGTGGACCTAGGCTCACTGTTTCCTACATAACAAATAGGCCTGTTTTGTAGGGCTCTGCAAGGCCTTGGACCATGCTTTGGATCCAGAGAAGATTTGGAGGCTTTGGACACCGAAGCAACATTTCCAGATCGAAGTGTTGGCTTCTTAAGGCTTTCCAAAGCAGTTTGGAGCTTCCGAACCTCTTTGGAAAAGCTTTGCAGCCACTTCAGAGATCCGGCCATAGGTTATAATGGGGAATCAATGGAATATCTATAACTTTGTTGCTTTTTGTCTAATTTGGATTAAACTTGAAGGGCTGGTAGAATATGCAGAGATCATGAAGTCTACCAAGTTTCATAAAGATTGGTGCAGGGGTTTGGGGGGAACTGTACCCCAAATTCATGAAAGCAAAACTCATGTCACGTGTGTGTGTTACATCACAGGGGGGTGAAAGCTGCAGAGATGGTAGCTTCTGGTAAGGCCACAAAGCCTGACAAGTTTCAAGAAGATAGGTTTAGGGGTTTGGGGGAAACTGCACCCCAAATTCTTGAAAGCAAAACTTATGTCACGTGTACATGTTAAGCCACAGGGGGGTCAAAGCTGCAGGGATGATAGCCCCTGCTGGGGCCACAAAGCCTGCCAAGTTTCAAGTTGAAAGGTGCAGGGGTTTGGGGGGAACTGCACCTCAAGCTGCTGACAGGCAAAACTCATGATATAGATGACCCTGTGTGTGTTAAGGTGCAGTGGGATGAAAACTGCAGGGGTGGTGGCTCCTGCTGAGACCATGAAGCCTGCCAGGTTTCAAGGAGATAAGTGCAGGGATTTGGGGGAAACTGCACCTCAAGCTGCGGAGAAGCAAAATTCGTGACATGGGTGACAGTGTGTGTTAAGGCGCAGCAGGGTGAAAGGTGCAGGACTGCTAGCCCCTGCTGCAGCCACAAACCCTGCTAGCTGTCAAGGAGATAGGTGCAGGGCTTCTGGATTCTGGGGCCCTGCATCTCTAGCTGCTGACAGGCAAAACTTGTATCATGGTGCTTTGAAACCCCTGCAAGTTTCATCCAAATCAGACAAAAATAAACGAAGTTATAGATGTTTCATTGATTCTCCATTATACCCTATGGCCGAATCCCTGGCATCCAAAGCAGCCGGATTGAAGAGCTGCCTACTCGCACAGGCCTACTGTCTTGCATAGTGGCAGCAAATGGATGTTGTGGGGGAGGATAAAGAGAGCATGCTGTGAATTTTTTACCCTTCTACTGCAGTTTCCAGCATTCAACATTTCAGCTGCCAACATTTACATACCCAAGTAATTTTAGGTAGTCGAGTGCCTTAGTCCTGCTCATGTGACTAAATAGTCTCAGGTGCAGAAGAATTTGCAGGTTTATCCCCTTAGCGTGATTTCTAAATCTGTCCAGAGGAAGGTTTCGGTGGAGCTAAGGAATATAGTTCTTATTATAGATTCTTAGCTCTGTAATTTACTCCCAGTAGAAATCTGTTTGAACCTGAGACACGTCTTGTTTAGGGCACAATGAATTTTGAAATACCCAAATAGAATTAAACAGCAGCAAAAAACCCTCTAAGATATCCCTTCCTCTGGCTTTCCCAGTGTATCTTGTCTTTTCATTGTTTCCATGAATTGGATTAAAACTTTTCCAACCAGGGGCTGCATCAATTCTGTCCCTTGCTATCACTTTATAACTGAGTACTTAATCCCGCCCTGCCACTGCAAATACTATTTTGTGTTTTCTTCATACTACTTGCCAGCCTGTCTCTCCTGTAGTCAAATAGGAGTTTTGCCATTGACTTTGGTAAGACCAGGTGCTACTTCTGTCATTGATGAAGTTTCCAAACCTTTTTCTAACGGTCAGAAAATACAACTAAGCTGCCTGACATTGTTCCAGGGGGCTCTTACCTAATTGTGCCTGAATTAGGTAAGAGCACATGAAACCTTACGTATTTTTGTCACTGTGTTTATAATAGCAGAAAACTGTGTGTGACGATCAGATACTCTGATAGAAACACTCGTGAAACTTGGGTGAGCTGTTTCAAAATCTATATGTGAACTGGGATCTAGGTGGACTTGAAGCCCATTTCTAATGTTATGAGGTATGTTATCAATCCCCTGATGTCTCTAGTGTTTTTTAAGCCTGCATCATGGCTCTAAATTAAAGCAGACAGGAAGGCTGGTTTAGTTGTTAGAGCTTTGGTTTAGGACACATGAAACCCTGGTTCATTCTGTGCTCTGCCAGAGGCTTCCTGTGTGAATTTGAACAAAATGCTTGTAGCCCGGGTGTACGTGGATTTGTACTTCCCTCTCCAATTGAGGGAATTATTGGCAAGGCAGCATGCTGTGGAGGGACACAACAGCCCAGTGGCCACCTCCGTCCCCTATAAAGTCAGATCCAGTCAATCAATTACTTAACTATATACAGATTTATTATCACAACAAAACCATTACAGGGTAAGAAGATATATATATATCTATGTACACGTTTACAAAACAATAAACCCTATAATATATTATAGGGTTTATTGTTTTGTAAATGTGTACATAGACTGTGTATGGTATCTCTCTCTGTCTCTCTCTCTATATATATATTACATACAGATATACCACACCCAGTTTGGGGGGGGGAGACAGGGCTCCCCTGTGGGGACCCCTCTCTCCAGGGTAACTTACTACTACTTTGCAGTCACAGAGGGTTGCTTCTTGTTCTCCAGGTCGAGCTCTGTCCCTGCTGGGTTTTCCTGCTGCCTGACTCTGCTGCTGTCCTGGCTTAGGGACACAGGCACCACTGTGTGTAGTGGATGCTTTGCCTTATACTAGGGGTTGGAGGCCTGGACAGCCTTGTGCAGCACCGGGGCTCGGTCTGTTCCTGGACCCTCTGGGCTGCGTCATCTACACTGAGCTGCTGCCCCGTGTCAGCAGCTGTAGACCTGAGCCACCCCAGGATCTCTCACCCTCTGTGCAGCGCCTCCTGCACCGAGCTCCCAGCCTCGTTCTGGGGGTTGAGGACCTGAGCCACCCTAGGGGCTCCAAAGGTCCTGCTCCATGCACCAGCCTGTGCACTGTGTCTGTGGCTGCACAGCAGAGGTCGCAGACCCGAGCCGCCTCACGCAGTTCTCAGGGTCTGGATGCTGTGCACCGTGCACTGAGAACCTAACCGCTGGGGCCGTCCCCCGCTCCCCGCTGACAGAAGTCTTCAGGGGCTCTTCCTGGGCTACTGCTTTGCCCTGCTGAGCAGCAATCTTCAGCTCTTCTAAGTCCCACTCTTCTCTCTTCTCAGTCCCCGTCAGGTCTGCCCTTGTGCTGGGCACGCAGCTCCTTTTATATGCCCCTGAAGTCTTCCGGACCTGACAGTTTACAGTCTTCACTCAGGTCCGGGAGAGCTCTTCTCCCCCTCCCCTCAGAAAAGGGGTGTGATGTTATTTCTCTTGCTGCCTCCTGATTGGTCGATGAGCTCCACCAATCAAAACAGCAGGATCTCAAGCCTGGGATTCAACCCAAGCTCTGAAAGTAAGCCTGCTACATGCTTAAGCTGAGACTTACAAAGGTACTTGGGTCTTTACATGAGGCTGAGGTAGAATTTAGAGTGAGCGATTCACAGAAATTTTACCAACCCCCCTTAGGCACCTAAACTGTCTGGTAAAAATGGATTTAGATGTCTATAATTGAGCAGATACATACACTCAAAGACACCACTTCATGCTATATAGGCATCTTTGTCCCACTTTAGGCTGTTAAGGATTGACAAATTACATGGCCATGCCCCTAAACTGCCTTCTGAGCCCAACCTGGTAGATATGCTCTGAGCATACCTAATGGTATAGAGTTTGGTATTCTCCCTTAACCTCCATGTGCCTACATGCCCGACGATGTGTTTTGATAACAGAACTTCCCTGCCTGGCAGGGGCACTGAGAAGATAAACAGGTGAGATTGTGACGGGTTCCGATATCCTGGTGCGGAGGTAAAGGGGCCAGACAAAACTCTTAGATGAGATTTTTTCCTGTCTGATATAGTAGAATCCTGGAGTCTTATCTTCTAAAGCAAGGCCTTAAGGCAGGATTTTGCTGCAGTGCTGACAGCTGGAAAGGTAATGTCCTTAGTTTTTCTTTGTTCAAAATTCTGCACAGTTTGGCGCCTAGAGAGGTGGCCCCATGTTTCAAATTTGCTCTGTTCGTGCTTAGTCATTACTTCTACAAGGCTCAGCAGTGTGGCCTCCCAGGCCTTTGTAACAGATGCCATTGTACAAAGTGTGTGTGACTGCAATCTCCAGGATAGGCTTTAATTAGAAACAGAATGTTATACAGTAGCTTGGAAAGGGAACGGGAGAAATCAAAACAAGAGACCAGAAAGAAAATGCCAAGAGAGAGAAAAATAAAAGGCTATTCTGCTGGCATTTTGTGCTGACAAGCGCTTGACAGGAAATACTGTGCATATCTGTGGAAAAAGAAAGGGTATGGCAAAGAGGAACAAAACCTATTAAGGAAAACTTAAAGGGTCAGATTCCAGCTGGAATAAATCAGCATTTCTCTGGAATTGCCACCATCTCATTGACTGCCCTGCTGCTAATTCATACCAGCCAAAGATCTGGCTTACTTGACACAAGTGTACACACAAACTTGAATATCTGTTTGTTTATATTATCCCTCATTTTAATTAAAATTTTGTTTTCCAGGCTGTCCGCCTCTTGGTCTGGAGACATTAAAAATTACTGACTTCCAGCTCCATGCTTCTACAGTAAAGCGATATGGCCTTGGGGCCCACAGAGGAAGGCTTAATATTCAGGTAACATCAATTTTCTTTCTAAGTGGTGGAATGGCTCACGGTTGCATTGTTGTACACACACTGCCAGTGGATGGTTATAGGTTTTGACTACTTTGTCAGCTCACATTATTCAAATGAAAAGGAAATATTGAAATTATGGCAATGGGTAGAGTTGATGGATAGATCTGAAATTGTAGGGTTTTTTTCCTTGGTTTATAAAAGCTCCAAGAGTGATGTGCATAGAATTCAAATCCTAATGGCATTCTGTAAGGAAAGAAGGTGAGTGGAGTAGAAAGAGGAAGCTCTTCCCTATGCGTTAGCAGTGCACAAAGGAGAGGCAGTAGGAGGGTGTCTGAGAAGCAGGATTATTTTGTTTTATGCTTCGCCTACAATGAAAGAGATCTGTAATTAAGAACAAATTTTTAAGTGAAGCTGCTTACTGCCCATCTTCTCTTCTCAGGCAATGACAATTTTGTCAAGAAATAGAGCAGTTCTGACAAAACTGCTCAGAACACATTCATGTACACATTCTTAGTTTTCCTTAGTTTTGTTACTTTTACTTCCTAGAAAGTCATCTCTTTTATTCCAGACTTAGATAAGCATAACTGAGCTTATTTACTCCTGGTGGAGGTGTGCTGCCTGGACCCCTGTTTCTGTATGCCTGGAGGCTCCTGCAGGTGACCCGCTCTGTTTTTAACGAGTTAGCTTTCTTACATTAGTGGCAGTGAAGGCCTTGGGCAGCCCTCCAGAGCCCATACCCCCATGGGCACGCAGAGGGTCACCTGGCCACCTCCTGCACCAAATAAGCCTGGGATACACAGAACCGTGGTAAGTTGGCATCAAAAGAAGGAAACTGTCCAGGTCTTTAAAAGCCGGGGAGAGCTGCTTCTAGATCCCCCAGCCAGAAACACTGCAGCCAAGTGCAGGCTATAGAGGTTGTAGTCGTAGTAGTTGTGGCTGTGTACCAGAGCAGCCAGGTGTAATGTGGGGGTTAGTGGGGTGAGAAGCAGCACAGCGTGGGATGCCTAGAGGACCAACCTGACACTAGCCCTTATGTAAAACACTGAACTGGTTCACAGAGAACCAGTCAAAATAATTGATTATCCAGGTATATTCTTGACACAGCTTGGGCTGTGTAAACCATTCTAGACTGGCTTGTACATCTGGATGCTTGAGGTTTAAACAGAACTTGAGGTCTAAGTGTTATGTTTGTGTGCACCCTTAGGAAATGAATGAATTGTAAAAAACCTGGTTTCAGGGCACTGGCAGGAGAGGGGATTGAAACTGTTGAAACTGAGACCAAAGGTAAGTATTATATCATGAGCTTGATTGCCTACTGAGTTAATTTAGTTCTGTGTTCGTGTAAGACCACTGAAGTCAATGGAAATATTGGAATAAACCTGCAGTGGTGAGCCAGGTATACGTTTAGTAATCGATGAAACAAAACACACAAATTTTTCTAATAGGGGAAATATACTTACCTTAGCTTGGAAATTAATGATGGGGCAGAGCCAGGAATCAGATAGCTTTGAGGGGAGATGAATGTTCTTTGGTTAGCACTTGTAAATATTTCACCAGCCTCGGATATATCCTTTTCCTGTTGTAGAATTCTTTCCAAACTCAAGTTCACCAGGACACTTTCCTTCAGCCCATGAAGTGAAATAAAGGCAATTTTACCAAACGTAGTTTCAGTACACCGTGCAGAGAGGCAACCAGCATTTAAAGTCTGAAATTATCTTTAAGCATGAACATATTTGAAGGGGTAATGTCCCTTACACAGAGGCCAAAAGGACTCAGGTAAAATTGAATCTCCATAACTCGTACTGGATTGATTGTTTGGACTTCTAATCTCCAATACTCTGGATTTGGGAGTGCTTCTGCCCCTAAAGTAAATTTTACCATTGTATTTTTTTTCTTTCTTTCTTCTTAGTCCTGTAACCAATGCCCAAAGTTTGCTTCCAGCAAGTGACCTTCTGCCACCATCTCATCTGCTATTTCCTAGCAGTTCTCCAGGTACTCTTGGCTATAAAAATAATATTCATGCCAGTTCTTGAACAGTGGCCCCATTTTCCTTCAATGTAAGCCTTATTTTTTCATCTTGGCAGAATCACAGACTTTAGATTGTCTCCTGAGGGTCGCAGTGATCTCCGCAGTCACTTAACACAAAGACCAGTCATTTTTTATTTCAGTAATAATTTCAGTTGTGTTCTTCATTCTTCAGTTCAGATTTTAGTTTAGAAAATAAATTATTTTTTTACTAATATAATACTGATCGAAACTAAGTTTTATTCCATGTATCTGTTGCCATTTCCTTATCCCATCTTAATTAATTCTGACTAACACATTCTCTTTATTTTTTAAATGTTAAACTTATGTTTTAATTTTTTTCTCATATAAATACTTTTATGATCTTGTTATTCTGGGAAGCTTATATATAAATGGCACTGCAGTACCTAATCGGCAACAGTCTTTAATCATAGTACTTTATCTTTCTGTCCTGTTCAAGTGCAGCTTATTTCTTTACGGAAATGTTATCTCTGATAGACAGTGCTAGTAATCCTCAAATTGAACACCTTCTTCATTATAACTTCCAGATAACCATGTAATAATCCCATATACCGGCTCAACCACTTGGAGTGCTGACAGTGATTGACAGTGTGTTAAAAAGTGAGGTTTAGCATTTCTTTTTCTTTTTTTTCCCCTTCAGGGGTTTCTCATTTTGGGACTGCCCTAAAATTAAAAAGGTATTCAAGTCAGTTTATATTTCTCTTTCCAGAGCACATTTTTTTCACTTTGTTTTGAATGTTCAAATTTAGTTGTATACATTTAGTAAGTATAATTAAGACCTTTAAATTGCATTGGAATATATATATATTCCAATGCAATTCAAAGATCTTAATTATACTTACTAAATGTGTGTGTGTATGTGTGTGTATGTATTAGGGGTGTGCGAAGTAGGCCCAATTCAATTTGGATTCGGATTCGGCTACAATCAGGGACAGTGATTCGATTTGTTGATTCGGATCACTGTCCCTGATTCGATTCAGCCAAATTCGAGTCTGAAGATTTGATGCTGATTCAGAGAATCAGTGATTCGGACATAGACACAGCTTTAAAAGTTTGTTCTACATACCTTGAGGTAGCAGGCACAGCTCATGATCGCTGTGATGCTGGGGTGCATGGAGCATCCCACAGAAGTGTGGGGGGCCCCTCCATGTGCTTGGCAGTGAACACGGGTCTGCTGGAGAGCATGCTGGGGGGGCCCCCCCACACCTCCCCAGCTCAGTGATCAGCTGCAGGGGGACCCTGGGTTGCCCCTGCAAGACCCAGAGGCACCAGTCACCAAGCTGGGGTGGAGGGCATGGGGAGGCCCCCCTGCACATTCCCTGGCAGACCTGGAAATGGACCATTAGTGCTTCTGGTCCACTTTCTGGTCTGCTGTCAAGTGCACTAGGGAGCCCCCCATGCTCCTGTGGTATGCTCCAGGTGCCCCAGCATCACAGCACTCATGAGCCCCTGCTACCTAGAAGTATATAGAAAAAACATTTAAAGCTGTGTCTATGTCCAAATCACCAAATCTTTCCAAATCTCTCTGAATCGATTTGGAGGGTTCTGATCTGATTCAGAGAGATTAAAGGGTCCTTTGATTCAATTTGGATTTGGAGATTCAGCCACCAAATCGGGCCACATCTCCACTGAATTGAATCAGGGACCAAAGCTTCGCACAGCCCTACTGTATATTAGATAGATAGATAGATGGGAATTTGCCTAATACCAAATGTAGGTCCTCCAGAATATGTAAGTTTGAAATTTAGATTAATTATTACTGTCCAAGAGGATGGAGAATGAAGAATAAAATCAGTTATAGTCTGATGATAACTCTTACAATTTGAGGCAGGAGTCAATTTAGGAGATTCACCCCTGAACAGAGAATCAGTTCATGAACTATGCACCACTCAGGTACCACTTATGGCCTGTTGAGAAGGTTTCATTGGAATTTAGGTGGTGTATAGAAGTTTTGCTGGCCTTTGGCCTGAGGTGAACTTTACATAGTAGAGACCACTCTCTTTTTAGTATTAGAAAATGTGTTTATCCTTGTTTCCCGATGTGGTGTTGTTAGACTACAGAGCCAGTCATGAAATCCACAGTAATTTTTGATCAGTGTACAAATAGTTACATTACTTCATACTATGGAAAGGCAAATGGTATTTCACAGTTATATTTAAGCAAATGTTAGTTATTGTTTTGAAGCTGTTCAGTAATGTACACAGTGGAGGAAATTCAATTCTAGGTGAAGGAACCATGTGAGGTTCCACTTAAGATCTGTTTTGACTGTATTTAATGGTCTCTCTAGTTTTCCTTTGCAAAGGGGTGACTATCTTCTTATTACCCCTAAAGGCTTGAATTTATTTTCCCATAAGATCAAACAAAATCATTTTATGTTCAAATATATAACGTTACACGATGTAATGTTGCTAACATTAAACAGGTTCAGAAGTATAGACACATCCCATGTAATTGGCACCACCTCAACTCAAAAGTATTGTGGGGTCCGAACACCCTTCGTCAGGCAATTCAAAGATTGTAAAAGTTCTCCCAGGTAGAAAAGAACCTTCATCTTGCACGGGGGATGTAAAGGATGGTGGAGTTCCCCTGGGTTTCAAAGTTCATTTGTGAACGAGTTACTCTGTGAATATGTAGACTGGGCAAAGACAAAGACATTTTTTTGCTGCTATTTAGTTGGGCTAATAAAAGATATCGCCTCTAGCTCAAGAGTTTTGTCTGCCTTTGGAGGGTTATAGTATTTTTCCTACTTATGTTAATAGTAGCTTATGAAGTAAGTAGAATGTGAAGTTCATTGATTAGTTTCACATTATCACTTCTCAGCTTAAATTTTTATTCCAAAAAGGATAGGATATAGCAGATGAAAGAAAGGATAGGATATAGCAGATGAAAGAAACATCAAAATACTTTACATTAAAGTAATCACTTCCAGGGCTCCCTTTCTATTTTGCCTTCAA